TTCAAAACCGATTTATCTCGCAAACCGTTCATTTTTTCGAAATAAATAAAGAGTACCATTTTTAAAGAAAAACCTTCAGAGTATCTAATAATAATATTTTCAGTTTGATAAAATTACTTCTGTCAAAATTTTGAGAAAAATTGTGATAGGGCCAGTCCGTTTCTGGACACCTGATAATAGCAAAAAGTTGATTTTAGCATCAAATCGTAGAGCTCCATGTGTAATACAACGTACGAAAATTTTATTATAATATACAGGGTGGTTTCAAAGTTATAACCCTAAACGTTAATTTCTAGGTACCCCTTTGACCCCCCATAACTCCGTTAGGGGGCACATTAGGAAAAAAAATTATAGGAAGGACTAGTTTTATTTTGACCTCCCCTATACACTCCCGAGAGATTAGGAGGTACTTACCGGACACCCTGTATATTCCATTTAACGCCCGGTACGCAAAACACAACCGCGGTTATCGGTTCCACCTTCGGTTTCATCCAGTTTAACGCAAGACCACTAACGCAAAAACCGCCACAAACAAAATCTGGCGTTGCATGAAATTGACGCGGGATTAGAGGCCATACAGATAGGCACTTACAGTGAACGTTGACCATAATCCTCTTGCTAACGGTGGGCGGTACGCCATTGGAAGCGATGCACATATAGGCGCCCATTTCTGTGCGAGATATCTTCGCCAGCTTCAACACTTCCCCTTGGTACGCCGAGACTGAAACATAAAACTGCGTTTAAGATTTCTGTGAAGACCAAGGCTTCAATATCGTGGTTCGTTTAGTTTAACGACGTCTACAGGTTGGATACTTTAAGGGGGCGGCTTGGTGGAGACAAATCGTTGGGGTGCAGATAGGATTCGAGGGTGCTGTTCGGGATTTTCGGATGTGTTTTGTTGAGAGATAAAGGGGACGAAAGAATACGACGAGTATTTTCTCCGATTGCATACCCATATAAGCGTAGGGAGGAACAAAAATAATGGCATTGTAATAAATAATTTAAAATATAGTGTGATTCACAACTTATCCAAAAAATTTGGGAAAAGGTACGTCAAGAAAAATGACGTAAATAATGTAAAATTCCCAGAAAAAGTTGTAGTATTTCTAACCCTTACATCTCTGGGCTACTGTAGTCTCTAGCGACATTCGCGTTGTGCGCTGTACACAATGCGCTCTCTCTCCACGTGGAGATTAAAAAAACTGAAATCCGATTTTAGTATTAACATTTTTGCGATAGTGTTTACATTAGTTTTTCAACTGTCAAAAACGCTAAATATTCCGTGTAAAAATTTAAAAACAAATAAAACGAAAATATTCAGAATCGCGTAAACAAATTGCATTATTTAAATATGGTTTGAAAGTGTAGTAGCTGGAAAAACGACATCTTAAAAGTATTCTATTTCTCATTTTAAAGCTTCTTACAACTAGTTCTTTGAGAAGTAGGTATTAATTAACTCTTATTTAATAATTTCTCATTAACACGCTTCCAAAGCAACTACTGTTTTAATAAGATGTTGATTTCAATACCTTATGACGTTTATAAATTATATTATGACTTTTGTATAAGCTATTGAACGTTAGTTATTTCCATTGCAAAGAATCAGTTATTAAAATTACCTTCTATCCGCTATAGGTGCGCAGTAGCAGGTAATTTTGATATATTTATCTTGAATTCTACTTAGAAATAATGAATAGATTTAATTGGATTGAGATGTTAACCTCTTCTACAATTTCTCTGACAAGCAACTGGCGATTTGCAAGCACCAGATCTTTGACTTTTTGAATGTGAGAGTCATCAGTTGAAGTCGAAGTCCTTTTTGGTGGAGGATCATCTTCAATTGACTTACGATCACTTTTAGTTCGTAAAAACCATTTGCATCATTGCGCGTTATGATCTAGAGCACCATCTCCATAAGCTTACTTACACTCAAATAAGAATATCACAAAAATTAAATGAGATATCGACAATCCAAGAACACGTGGTTGTAGAGGAGGCTATTCTTAATGCAATTCTGCCAACCTCATTTCACTAAATATCTCCGTTAGCGCGTAATTTAAAAAGTTCGGTTTTCTGAACAGACTTCGTATATTCCTTAATTAACTAACAAAACTGCGTTTCCATAGATACGTAAGAATTAATGATATTGCAGGGAGCTACTACTCTGTGCCACGATCAATTACACACACAATATCTAGTAAACTTATTATTATTATCTCACCCATAGTAATTAGGTTCAAAGAGCATAATGGTTACATCAATGCGAATTTTAGAAAAATGCTTAAGCTTAATTTAAATTGGCATAACACCTATTAAATTAAAGTTAAAATACATAATTTTAAATAATATAAAGTTATTTTTAAGAATAACCGCATTAAATCAGTTACCTCATTTGCTAAATTATTGGATTATCCATGAATTCGTAGAGTTCAGGATACTTTGTCGAAATGTGACTCGGGATAAGGAAACACAAAATTAAAATTTTATGCAGCCTCTGTCGCGCAGAGGAGAATTTAAAATGCACCCTAATAATTCAAAGTAGGTAGTATTAATACTTAATAACGCCCGAATCCATCAGCCTCAATGATGACATCCTGTAAACCTCGCGAAGCCGCGACGACAGGTATAACTTTCTCCGATTATTATATTCAATCTTCCAAAATTCCCCATTCATCATCCCAAATGCGACAGCGGAGAGATTAAAATGTTTGTATATTATTTTCACCCCTCGGAATACAAACATTATCACGCTGGTCCTATTCTAATCTTAACTGATCCTGGATTGCCGGAACGGCGCTCTTAAGTCCTATCAGTGTGTTGGCTCTGCAAGCCAATTTATCTCGAGGAAGACGTAGATATCTGAGAATCCGTAGTAAAATGACCGCTGGCTTCGGAGCATAAAAACAAATTTCTCAAGTAGGACAAGTAGCCGAAATAAAAGTTTGAGTGATAGAAAAAAAAGTCGTTTTTGAGGGAGTCATTGCTATTAGTATAGTTGCTTGTACTAGTAACTAATTCGTATGGGTGTAAACAGAAAATATCTCAGGCAGTCAGCAAGTACAGGAAAAAAAATTATCAAATTTACTATTTGGTGGTAGAAAACTTGTTTCTAACGAGCGTTCAAATAAAAACGTGGTCGAAGTTGGCTCTGACACATTGGACGTAGGGAGTAGCTTATAGCGACCAACTTAACCTCATTTCTCAACGAGCCGTATAGCAGCTGTCAGTTTCAATAACGTTAATGACTATATAACTTTATTTTAAAGAATAATCGTGATAACAATAACAAACAATTAAAGGAGCTGCGGAAAGTGTCCCCCTCCTTGTTATAACAATAAATTAAAGCAGCTGCTGAAAGTGTCCCCCTCCTTGTTCCAAGCACTTTTCACACCTGTTCCTCAAAGAATTAAAGACATTTTCTAAGATGCTCGGGGTATTGTTAATTTCACGAATCTTGTCTATAAGTCGAGCCTGCAGATGGTTTAAATCAGGAATAGGCAGTTCAAAAATAGTGTTTTTAAGGTAAGGCCACAAAAAGAAATCA